ATATAGTATGAGGGATGAATGAGTGTGATCTATCAACTGGCAAGATAGCACAAAGAGGTCTAAATGAGGTCTCTTCTTATGTGAGTTCACACACAAATCTGTTTCAGTCATGTGTCATTTGATAGAGAGCTATTAGCCTACATAAAAATAGTTTTTCTTTCTGTGCATGGCCTGCGGACACGCATGGTGTGGGGTGGCTCTGTAAACACTTACAGAGGGGCCTCTGTCCGAGACTGCTGGGGTGTGTGTGAACGTATGTGGTGGAAAGACATGGGGGATTATTGCTTGCATTCAGTGAGCTCAACAACCACTTTTTTAAATTTGGTCACATCGCACAAGGAAGCTGTCTATTAAATTTTTTTATTGCGTTCTCTTGTGATGCCACTTAAATCTTGTCTTAAATGGATCATAAAGTATGGCGCCTTTTATCTCGAAACATTATCTGCAATGCATGAAAGTGGGCTGAAGATCACTATTACCTAAACAGAAGAAACACCTCCCCTGGGTTGTGCATGTTGTACTTCAAATGTCTGATTATTGTAAGTGATTGGATGAGAGTTTGGGTGGTGGATCAATAAGTGGTGTTATGAGTGAATATTTATGGGACTTTCTGAGGAGGTTAATAGTTTGAAGTGATCTGATTTAATTTAGATGTATATCATGTTCCACTTGAGGCTAACCGCCTGACCCCATTTAGCTATGCGTGAGAAAGAGACCTGGGCTATTGAAACTATGTGATAAGAGGTGGATGGTTATCATTTAATAAAATATGGTTAATATTATACATACAGCTGGAATTAATATTATAAAAACAAATAATTGTACAGTAATACTTTATTGAGAATGTTAATACAGTGAGACATGAGAGTTTGTGTGTTACAGCGATTGCAACAAAAGGATAAAAACACATAACGCATACACTCTAAAAAATGCTGGGTTGTTTTAACCCAATTTTGGGTCAAATATGGACAAACCCGAAATGTTGGGTTAAAAATGTAATGTAAAAATTTAACCCAACGGCTGGGTTAGTCCATATTTGACCCAAAGTTGGGTTAAAACAACCCAGCATTTTTTAGAGTGTAGCCTTGAGTAAATTCTTTTAAAAAAATGGTGGGACTAGTGTTGAGTCTAAGTCCGACTCTGAGTTCACCTGGTTGAATCCCAGTCGAGTCCAAGTCCTTTTTGGACAATTGAGTTTGAGTGTAAGACGTTCATTAAAATCTTGTCATCTTAATTTTATGTCGTTATATATTATCAGAGACTAATACAAATCCATCCGACTGTGTCCGAGTTCATTCCTAATTGCAGTCCGTGTCCAAGTCAAAGAAGGCTACCCCAAATCTAGAGGGAACAATAATATTATTGTTAAATGCACCAATGTTCAAATGTCTATGCTGAATTATGAAAATAATAGGCTGTAAATATACAGTTTATAATTCTTGATATAGATTTTTTATGGTTGACAAGCAATGTAGTGAGTAGCAATTAAAAGGGCATTAAGGGTTAGTTCACTACAAAATTTTAAAAAAAATGTAATTGATTACTCACCCTCATATCGTTCCAGAGAAAATGAGAATAAACCTCAGTTCTTGTGGAAGCTCAAGCATGCCACGTAAAATGAGAATGAATCTCATTGGCTCTTGAGGAAGCTCAAACATGCTGCGTAAAATGAGAATGAATCTCATTGGTTCTTGCACGTCAAGCGAACATACTGTGTGAGATGTGTGAGTTGATGAATGTTTGTAAATAAAAGCCTAAATTAAATCATCATCAAAAAGCAATTGTGTCTCTTCAGAAAATTCGGACTCAATTCATATGGATTAGATTTACGATCTCATACAAGCTTTTTAAACCTTCAAAGTGGTAGTTGCGTGGACTTTCATTAAGAACAAAAACAAATATTGTTGATAATCAAGAAACAAATAACTTGAAATAGCGAGACAGATGGAGAGGAAGATAAATACTGTATGCACTTTTTAACTGCTCATCTTCTCTGACTTCTCACATATCTTGGTAAAACGAAATTGTGTTTGCAACAAATACAGAGACTCATCTGACTTTGAAACAGGTGCTCTTTAACCTTGCTGTAGGCTATGTTAGTTTCTTTCAAACTGATGTGTGCTCTTGAACAACATTTTAAGATAGATAACCTGAGAGTAAACCTGAAGCAGTTGTTGATTTTTTCTCAGCTAAAATGAAGCTGATCAGTTATTGCCTTTGAGCCAATGATTTGAATAACATTCTTGTTCTTCTAAACACCTTAACCACTTTGATGAACGTAAACTCAATTAGAACAAAAAACAAAACAAAAAAACAATTGGAACTGAATTGAGAAATTTTTACAAAGGGAAAAATGAAAATTCTGTAATCATAATATTCATCCTCATGTGTTTAAGAATGTGCAAGACTGTATTTATACAGTAGTATGTGCAACCTGCTCTTTTGCATACAATGAAAGTGAACGGTGACCACGGCATGTCAATTTTGAGTGATGAATGACTAAACTTTTGGTTTGGTTTCAGGCCACTTTTACATTTTTATGATCATTCATCAAAATGTATCGTTCATTTTTATGCTTTTTTTATCTCCTTTTGTGTTCATTAAAGCTATCAGACATTAATTCAGCATGCAAAGCATTTCACAATAAATGATAACATTCTATGGGATAATATAATTACAGGCAAATCCATACTCCTATCACATGTTTACCTTAACTACCCTTCAACCCCCAGACTAGTTTTTCTGTCAGGCTTTGTCTTACAGTCCAACACGGCAGTCATAAGCAAATAGGCCTACAGCCGCAGTGTTCATGGGAATTAGATGAATCAAGGAGCCCAGGAGCTTGAAGTCATCTCATGAGGTTTGACAAGCATGACCAGGCACAAGCCATAGGCCCCTTGGACACCAGCAGATCCTGAAAGATATGTTGTATTAATAAAGCCTGCAGCATCTAACCCACTTTTTTATGGTGCGGTTTTAGTTTAGATACCATTCAGTTAAACCTTTAAAACAAGTAACAGCATGACCACGTGAATTCTCCAAAATGACTGCTTTGCTTAATGTTTGCTTCGTTTGACACAGCAGTACACCTTAATTGGAACATTATATGAATATCAGGAAAAAATGGGAGCCTGTAGGCGGGTCCACATCACGCATATACTCTCTGCTTTTTACACACACAGGGACACGCAGCATCACACAAACGTGCCTAATATAGAACATAAAAGGATTACAATGTAAAAGATTATTATTGTGTACAAAAAGATATGGTGGAATCCGGCTTGTCCCGTAGCTAGATGGTCTGCTTGTGCTATTAAAACTTGCGCACGTGCAGATCCGTTTGCGTTCTGGAAACGCGTTCGGTGTTTCTGCTGGCAAATTCCCAACACAGTCTCATGAAGATGCGTATCTATACCACGAATGTCATTTCACGTTTATTATAAATAATAATAATAAAAACAGAATAGCAGTTTGATTAAAAGATAAGCAGGGGAGAGGGATCAGTAAGACAATTATTTACATTTGTACACATAGCCTTGGATTCATGTGATTTTTTTATTTTTATTTTTTTGAGAGGATGTTAGGTAAATATTTTAGTTTCGATAAAATATGGTAACTGGTTTAGTATATACCCACTTGTAAATAGCCTGGGGTTGTCATATCGTAACTTGGGTTGTTCATTATGAAAATTAGAGAACTTGCAGTGACAGATTTTCTAATATGCAGTAGGAAATATCTTTGCAATTGTCTTAATGTGCAAATTTAAAGGGATTAAATCAACCAAATGTAAATATATTATACTGGCATTTAAGTACAATGTAAACTGTAATACACTAGGCTATATAGTGTAATTGTTTGTGCCATATCATCTACATATTTACTGCAGTCCATAATTTAAAAAAAATGTAATGTCATTTGTTTTTAGGTTTTAATCTGTTGTTATTGCAATTGTCAGTAAAATTCAAGAATCATTCAAAGTAAATACATTTTACTTCCCTAAAGGTTTTATTTGCCTTGTTGAACTTGGTCAGCAGTTTTATTTCAGATTCAATATTGATTCTAAAAGACAACAACGAATGTGTTTATCTTAGAGGCTGGAATGATGACAAATCACAAGATATATGGAACAATGGAATTACAGCAAAGACAACAATTATTTATTGATTTATTTTTTTAATTTTAATTACAAATGACCTAAAAGTCATAGTGAAATAGGGATAAATGGGGTGAAAGTGAGGTCAGGGGTGTCACAGTGATCACAATGTTTTGGGTCACAAGTTTGGCTTTATTAGAGCATATAAAGAAAGACGAGCAATAATAAAAGCATAAGATCAATGATGGCATTTTAGAAACTAACACACATTTTGTTCACCGTGATGGATCTCCCATCAGAAGAGCAGATTAGTAGAGAAATAGAGCTCGTCACAGCATGAATGACAAACAAACGCATATAACAATGCTATCGGCATATCCACTCATTCAATATGCCTTGTGTCTTCATTTCGCTTTATTCTCAGGCAAAATGAAGATGACTGCGCAGGTGAGACTCTTCTGGTTCCAACAATAATGTTTGTCACATAGTGGCAACTGAAATAAAACAATTGTTAAGCAACCTTTTTTTTTTCACTGATAAACATGCAACTGATTTTTTTTCTGCTTTGATAACATTCCATGCTGGTCTGTAACAATTTAAATCCAATTTTTCGTTTGTGTTATGAATTTATAATTGCCAGATCAGCCTTATCAGTCACAGAGGAGTTTGAAGTTGCACAGGATTCTTGATGAATTAATTATAACCCCTTTAGTTATCATAGTTTGTTATGGACAATTCAGAGTTTCTTCTGACAAGCCACGTGTCACCCTGTGGCACTATAACCTCTTTTGTGCGTCTCAGGTATGACTAGTGCTTTTACTGTTGATGTTACCTCCCTGTCCCCGCCCATGTTCGCTCGTCGTTCCGCATGACCCGCGCGCAGAGTGGTAGAAAACAACGCTGGCCCTTTAAGACTGGAGTGATCGCTCGGCTGGCGACCAAGCTGTATTATCGAGCTACCAACACACATGAGATAGATGGAATTATAACAATGGAATATCACTGCGTTCTGTTTACTGTTTTGTTGCAGTTAATCATCCAACCAGGTAGGATGAGTTTTTTAATCATTTATTGGTCCTGCCTATGATCTCACAATGCTTTCCAAGTTTAGAGGAAATTCCAAAAAGTTGTTCATTCAAGACGTATAGGCTATTGCACTTGCTGTAGATGTGAGGCAGCCTTGTTGAATTATTCTTTATTACTATAATTCAAAACAAAACGGACATGCTACCATTCATAGAATAATAATGTAGAATAATGTATGGACCTGTTGCTTTTTACTTTACTTACTAATCTAGATGTAGGTTCTTTATAGAATTACAATTTTGGTGTGCTCTCTTATTTTCCATCATAATGAATATCACTGTCCATAAGGAGCTTTCACGGTCCACCTTCTGCCAGTGCAGAACTCCTCTCTCCAGTTGAAAACTGAACATTAACCATTCGAATGCACGAGAACTCCCAGTGATATCCTCACGAATCGTATCATCTTCACTTGCCGTGTAGGCTCTACATACCATCAATTTAAGGGGTTAGGGGATAATTGAAATAAGATACTGATCCGGGGAGCGGCAGGTGAGAACGTAAAGTAAAGCCGATCCTCGCGCGCTCCTCTCAATTATTTATCACGCTCGCGCGTGTCCGTCTTCGCGTCAAGTGTAGGAGGAATCATAGACAGGAATGCGATTGTTTCAGGTATAGCCTAATTTGCGAGCGATGTGAAGGAAAGAGTGTTAACTCAAAACAAAATTGTACTTTGGTAGGCTATTGTTAACTTTATATAGCCTAGTTCAGATACCCTATGCCTATAACAGCTGGGTTAGAACTTGGGACTTGACTCCGCTATGCAAGCCCTAAACCTCCCAATATAGGCCGGGTTTAAGAAAAAAAAAAATCCGGATCTTACAGAATATGAAACATTATAGCCTATAGCCTACCCTGCAACTTTTTCACAACCAAAAAGCGGCAAACTTCATCTGAGGAGGTAGCCATACAAATAGCTCAAGCATGTTAGGATCAGTAAAATTAAACAAGTCGCGGTGTTTGTTTGTTTGTTTGTTTGTTTTTTTAATACATCATTATTAGAGATTCACGTCACGCTTATGTCTTCATAATTGTGTCGCCAAACGTCGCACGAACATATTGAGCCCCAAGCTATAGTCAACGGTTTTTAAATGAGTACGGTTCATTTGTAGGCTACAGTTTTTAAAAGGTGCCTTAATGGGTTTTCATTTGCAGTTAAATTTATCTTATCCTACCAGCATGGATAGCTGTTATAGCGTAGCCTATGTAAATAATCGTCAACTCCCAAGAGAAGTTGTTTTCATGCTGCAGCTTTAGTTTTTCTTTGCCTGCGCATGCTGCACCTTCTGGTCGGATCAGATGGTCTTTTGTGGTGCTCAGAAAGAAAAAGATGAGGGGCGAGACTTTAGCTGGACTGCATCTGTTAACTGACCATGCGCATCACGTGTTCAAACTTTTATCCTTAAAACTCGTGCATGAAAAACAAACCGCGTGTTGTCCTTTCAGATGCTGCAATAAAGATGTTTTTATGTGACATATTTAAGTTTCCAAAAAAAGAGGAACATATATGCTAGCTTTTCTTCTTTTTTGTTTGTCTTTAAAAAAAAAAAAATGTTATGTTCACTCATTTGAATTCCACCATAAAGTTAGAGACTAGAGACCCGGTTATGTAAACCCAGTTTTAAAGTGAGCGTGGATAATTACTGAACACATGCGGTTAACTTTTTCTGTGGTTTTGGCATTAATCTGAAGATCAGCTTTGTAACGCCAGAGGGCTTCAGCGCTCAAGTGACTATTTTGCATCGTGTTTCTTCAAACAAATGGCGATGCGGGCTTTCACATAGTCTAACAGCCATGAGAAAATCATTTACATGGAAATATTTATAGGCTTGTTGACTGCATTAGGAATGGGCCTACACTAATTGAATGAAATATAGAAATTACTCCAGAAGTCAGTATTTTGGTGGGTGTCTGAATGGAGGTGGTCGTGATATTTTTCGGGCGAGTGCCTCTTGTGGCTGACGGTGGTATCGTAAGTAACGAAACTACAAGTCAGATTTTAGTACTTGTATCTAATTTAAATATTGAAAAATAAATTGGTGTGTGATTTACTTTGAAACAATTATGTTTTTAAACAGAACAACTAAAATAGTATTTTCTCGTAAAACATACTCCAATAATCTTTATTTATTTATTTTTTTAAGTGTACAATTTCTTAAAAAATATATATCTATTTATATATATTAAATATTTAATAATAAAAGGGTGAGCAGAGAACATGCACATATGTTTATGGTCAACATGATTTCACCACATCATGTGGATCAACATCTTTGCTGATCCTGGAACATCTTGAGGGACAAATTTGAGGGACAGTTTACAGCTTATGTGAAGTTTAGTTAGACTTACAACCACATGGTTTCTACATCAGTGTTATTCACCTATCATTTCCCTCTGATTTTAGTGATAATATAGGCTAAGTGTGTGTGTGTGTGTACGTATGTGCTTAAAGGGATAGATCACTTTGAAATGAATTTTTGGTATGTTTTAGCTTACCTCAAGGGCATCCAAGATGTAGGTGTCTGTTTAGTTATAGTTTCAATTTTGATATTTTTAGGTCAAACCGTTCGTGTCTATCAGTCAAATAATGGAGGTCTATGGTCACCACCTCAAAGAGCATGCACAGAGAAGTCCAAATTAAACATGATTTAATTACTCGTAAATGTAAGTACACATTGATGGCCTAAGACACGAAACGAGCAGTTTGTGTGAGAAAACGAATAGTATTTATATCGTTTTTACCTCTTGATACCGCAGCCACAAAGCGCCCGCGCCCTCAGATTGTTTGGACGTGGCTGTAGTTACAACAGAATAATAAAAATAATAAAAAATAAAGGGAGCAAGAGTAAGCAGTGAGGTACAAGGCAAAAGTGCAAGTAAACATCTGTTTGGCAGGTAAAGGATTGCATGGATACTCAAAGATTATGTTGTAATAATAATGTGTGGTTCCTGGAAAGTGGTTAATACATTGGTTTAAACTGTCATTGCTTTCTGTAGTTTTGATGGATATAGGCAAATTAAGGCAATCCCGATTGCCTTTAATTTAACTTGGAGATGTGGGAGCAACTTAAATGTGAAGGAAAATTATTTAAAAAGGGGAAAATGTGTAAATGGTAATGTCTTCAAAATGTGTCCAAATATGCATATTTGCATCTACTTCTTTCTTTCTTGTTTATAAGGACCTTTTCGTTGTTTTTGTTTCTGAGAACATGCAGGACAAGGGTTTCGGGGATATGCAAGGGCTTAGTTGCTTCAGGCTAAAATAAGATAACATGATAAAACTGTGAACTGTGGTTTAGCCTGATGAGTAGCTTGCCCTGATGCAAACTGTCACTCTATGCCACGAAAACGGCATCTGCAAAGTCAGGTGTGTTTTCCAGAGAAAACCCTAACAGAACAAAACTGTTAATGTTGACTTGTTTTCTCCAGTGAACACTGTCAACATCAAAATGAAAAATAATGCATGAAAGAAAAGCCAATTTATTACAAGACCAATTGGTCACGCACACACATAGCACCTAACTTTTCTCTGGTAAATATTTGAACCATGCAAAGAGAGCTTTTATCTAATTGCGCCATTTTGACACCATTATGAGTTTTTTTTAAAAAGAGATGATGTAAAGGAACTGAATTTTCACTCAAGCTAATGATGCCTGCAAAATGACAGGATGCAAGATTATTAATGTTTGGACTTGGATGCTCTGAAAAAAAACATGGACATTGAAAAAAGGGAGAAAAAGGCAACTATCCGTTGATAATGTAACTGGAAAAAAACAAGAAAACTTAATGTCTGGTTTCCATTTTTCATCTGAAAATTGAATTGTGAAGTGTTACACGGACCCTATGGTTTAAAACACTAATCTGTTGCTTTTAAGCCTTGTTGTTGTATAAGGCAACTCAGCACTTTGAATGGAGAATAATGCTGTGCCAACCAAGAATTTTGGAATATTTTTCCCCTTGTAGACTTTTGTAGAATTCTTAAATCTCAAATTACCATTTCTAGAGAAATTAGAATGAGAGGAACTTGGAAGACATACGCTTTTGGATTGTTAGTTGTGAAACTGTCTATTTCACATCATTAACTGTCTCTTATGCAACTTACTTGAGAGGGATTTGATTTGTATGTGTGTATAAATGTGTATGTGCTTGGTATATTCTGTTTATCAAAGTTGCTGTTTTTTTTGCAAAATCAGTAGGCCCACGATAGTATACTGGCGAGTCAAAAGCATTTGACAAAATACAATGAAGCCTGCAGAGTTTCATAACTTGTCATGTTAACTTTAGAAATAATCTATCCTCTTGCAAGTTTATTAAACATTAAACCTCTTTATCTTCCAGCCAGCCGTGTGTCATGTTCACATTCTTGTTTCCTCTCAGGCAGGTCCAGGCCCACAATCACCCCAGACGGACCCTGGCTCACAGTACCACTGAACGGCGACTTCAGCTTGCGCTGCCAGAGCAACAGTTCAGTGCGCTGGATGAGAGAAGACCGTCCCACGCGAACCCTGAAGGAGGAACAAAGGCAGGGTCAACTAACAGTTCTTAAAATGAGCAAAGCAGGCCCTCAACACATGGGCAAATATTCATGCTGTGAGGAGACTGGTGAAAAGAGCTCCATCTATGTGTATGTCAAAGGTAGGTCAGCCTTTTGCATTTGGGAGTGCCTTAATTGGGTGTAGTAAATTGTCTTGGCTGAGTGACATCTCTGTACTGCCCGTATTTAAAGAATTATTGAGGAACCATCCTTTATGTGTATACCTTGTCTTGTTATACTTTCGTGTGAGTGCAGCTACTGTATATTTTATGTGTGTACAACCCTGTTGGAAACAGTATATGTGTGACTGTATAGTAGACAAATTGGAATGTGTCAGCAACGTTACACTATGTGTTTGCATGATCTTTTAGTACTTTTTAACACTTTTTGTGCTTCATCTTTGTCTTTCTCTCTCGCTCTCCTTCTCTTTCTATGAACACACACTCCAGCATCTTCCTATGTGGTTCCATATTGTGCCAAAAACACACTTTAGATGCCCTAATCAACTCTCTGTATTCACCTGTTTCTTGAATGGCCTTTAATATATACATCTATGTCATGTGTTATTTCATGCATGTTCTTATAATCCCATAATAGAATCTTCAAATTCATCCCTGGAAGTGGACAGTTTTACATGATTTTGAGTTTTCACTTTCACTCTATTTGTGACACTCTTTCTCTTTCTCTGAGCTGCAATGTCATGATCTAAGCCCCATTGGTTGTGTTTCATTGGTTTTTGATTTAGCATTCCTCTCAGCAGATCCTGAAAATCCCTTCAGGAGGAGCATCGTGTTTGACATTGTTGCGGGAGAAGGAGAGACTGCCACGATCCCATGCTTGGCCACAGACCCAAATATGATGGAGTTGCACCTGCAGAAATGTGACGGACTGCCCCTTCCCAACAGTCTGCGATATTCATCCAGCATTGAGACGGGCGTGGTGTTGGAAGCTGTTAGGAAGGACTTTGAGGGATGTTACGTCTGCGTCGGGACTCTAGAAGGCGCCACGGTTAAATCCGGACAATATCTACTTACTGTTCGACTTGGTGAGAAAAAAGAGAGGCATTTATACATATTAGGCTGTCAATTTAGAGTCATTTTCTTGAACAATAATGAATAAAATCATTAAGCTTAAAGTTCCATCTTCCCAAGAATGGGCAGCAGAGAATGAGTTTAATCATCCATTCATGAATATGCTCCTGCATTCAAAGAGGATGGTATACGTACATTACCATTCAAAGTTTGGCACAAATGCGATTTTTTTTTTTTAAAGAAATTAATATTGTACTGTTTTTCAGCAAGGATGCATTAAATGAATCAGAAGTGACAGTAAAGACATTTATATGTTTATAATATTATTTCTAATAAACTCAATAAACAGTTCATTGAACTTTCTATTTCTGTAAAGAAACCCAAACCCAAATTTGGGTCAAATATGGACAAACCCAAATGTTGGTAAAATTTTAACCCAACTTCAAATTTCAATTTCAACTGTACATTTTTAAATGACATTTTTAACCCAACATTTGGGTTTGTCCATATTTGACCCAAATTTGGGTTGAAACAACCCAGCATTGGATCAAAGTTTCCACAAAAAATGTTTTCAACATTTGTTTCTCAACAATGTTTCTTGAGCAGCAAATCAGCATATTAAAATGATTTCTGAAGGATCACGTGACACTGAAGACACAGAAAGTTTTAAATTCGAACACTAGTTGATAATATTGCTGTGTTTTGTTTTTGATCAAATAAACGCAGTCTTGTGAGCATAAGAGACCTCTTACAAAAACATTAAAACATCTTACCAATCCCAAACTTTTCAATGGTAGTTTATAGACTGATTGATTAATTAATCGCCATTTCATATAATCAGTTTGATTAAAAATGTAATTGATTGCCAGTCCAAATACAATAACAATTGAACACAGCAGACACCAGACATGTGCATGTCACCCCACTATACTTGTTCTTCCTTTCCCACATATTCCTGCTGCTTAGATACAATCCATAATACTTCTTTGCTTTTAGTTCCAGGTGCGCCTCCTCTGATCACACTGGCTCAGCCTCAAAGAGTGCTGCTCACCCAGGGGGAAAAGCTCTCCCTATCCTGCTCCACCTCAAATGTCAACAGCGACATCACAATCAAGTGGAAGGCTCCGCGTGGAGTGGTAAGACACAAACTAACCAGCTCTAACCTATTTACTGTACCTGAGCACACCGTGACCACAACACACACATAGATAAAGTACATACTGCAGGCTTTATTATTGTAAACACATCAACCGCTTTAAATCAATCAAGTAAAACCAATTTTTACGAAAGCATACAGTACTTATAGAAAAGCATACAGCAGGTATGGGTGCACATCCCAGTTAACCTACTTAATGTGCTAATGTGTTTATAGACTGAGTATGAGAATTGAAATGTTTGTATGTTTGTTCTTGATATTATGCCCAGAGGCAAATTGGACCTTAATTGATTTGTATTTGAATAGCAAACAGGATTTCAAGAATTTCAAAACGAAGTAGAATTCAACTCAAATTCAACAGACATTTTTAAATATGAAAAACTTTGAATGTTGTTTAAAGCCTTGTTTAAAAGTTTTGAGAAAATTTTGAAAAGATGGATAGATGGATAGACAGATGGATGGACAGGTCCTCAGTCTTGCATTGGCACCAGAGACTGATATTTGAGAGAAAAATAACATGCTTTGTTTCATATAAAGGTTATAAAAACAGCCACACCTACACATATAAACAACCACAAGCACTTTACCCAAGACAAGGTCTATGCCTCATCTCTCCAGAGTTGCTCAATCAGCTTTGTGTCTGTTTTCTTTCTGCATGTGCCAAGCAACCGTCAGTGCAGATGACCTCGCGTCTCCTGCCTGAGCCTATTTATCACGTGAGGACCGCCATCCTAAGCCTGGGGTCTGTGACGATGCAGGATGCGGGGAGTTACAGCTGTGAGGCCATGAACGAAAGAGGGACCACTGCAAAGTCGGTCTGGGTCGACATCTATGGTAGGTCTCTGTTGTTTCAAACACCATTTTCGATTTTAAAAACTATGGGTTGCACTCTATTTTAAGGTCCTTGTTAACTACATATTTTAAGTACCGAGCAATATTAATGAACAACATGTGCTCACTATGTAATTAGAGTGAGCGTTTGAATTAGGTTATTTGCATGTAGTTATTACTAAGTACATGTAACACTTGTAATAAGGACACTGACATAAATGATCAAACAATCATGAGACTTTTTATGAAGACTGTTTCAAAGGATAAAATTATGTTTTATGTGTTTGTGTGTGTAGATAAAGGCTTTATTAACATAACAAGTGTGAATAACAGCACCAAGAGAGTGCGCGCTGGAGAAAGTCTGTCCCTGCGTGTGGTAATGGACGCTTACCCGAAACCTCATTCGTTTTCCTGGAGCTACAGTGGTGTAAAACTAATCAATACTACTGATCATGTCATTACCAGCCGGTCACAAGGGAATAGGTATGATTTTGTAAATCAAAAAATATATTTTTTTACTCCTAATATTTATGGTTTTTCATATGTAGCATTTGCTAAGGATGTGCATCAGATTTGGTACCATATCAGTTATCAGGACAATATTAGTTTTTTTATTATTATTGGAAATATTCGTTGATATTGTGCATTTAATTGTGGTGTGTTTTTAAATTTAGATCATCTTTGCCATCATGTAACGCTCAGTTATAATTAATTTCTAAAAACACTAATAATTGAAAAGCATCTTCAATAAAATTTTTTTAATACTGTGCATTATGGCCCAAAATAATTATGGGCTCATCAGTATCGACCAGAATTTCAATACTAGTGTATCCCACATATTGTGCAAAATCCACATGTTATTCCAATAATTCAATGAACTGAAAGATAAGTATTTTTTCTCTTTATTCAACAGTTACACCAGCGAGCTAAAACTAGTGCGTCTCAAGGTGTCAGAAAGCGGCGTTTACATCTTTTCATGCTCAAACCGAGACACAACTGTCCATCAAACGTTTGAAGTCCATGTCATAAGTGAGTGAAAAAATGTAATGCAAATGGCAAATATTTGCACTTTCCACTTGCCAGAAAAGTGTGTAGAATGTATGTGATTATGACTTTTTGTGTGTATTCTTGTTCAGTAGTAATCAGTCATATTTCTTGGGCATTGTGCTGGAAAAATAACTTAATTGTCTATGTAAGACCCTGGTCCCACTTACAATAGTAGAGGCAATGTAAGAACATAAATGAAAGGACTGGCCTTCAAGACTGCAAATAAGACCTTTTATTGTTATCATTTATCCTCAATCATTTGCTTTTCAATTAGAATTATTGATCACGCTTTATAAATGGATATCATTTTTACTCAAACAGGTCTCCCATTCAACCCACATTTTAAACAGTGAAATATTTAATATCTGGCATTTTAGGTAATTGAATCAATATTTTAGAAAGCAATCGCAAGTGAGACAGCTGTACAAACACCCATCCCACAAATCAGAATTGTAAAACTGAGCCTGAATTAATCTTTTACTGTTAGGTAAACCACAGATTGTGTCCTATGAGGGGCCGATTGATGGACAGGTGCGCTGTGCTGCAGAGGGTTACCCCACTCCTCAGATCAAGTGGTATTACTGTGACCAACCCCATTCCAGGTACGTGGCTTTCTACAGCTTTGTTAGTTTCGAATACACCTACAATTTTGGAAAAGTTCCTACAATGGGTTTTCAAAATTAGTGGTACCTCCCTTTAGCAGTGTGAACATATTAGCACATATTGTGATAGAGTGTGGATTAGTCACCGTTAACTTGATGTTTGATGATTGGACAACAAAGCTTTAGCCTATTATTGACGGGGATAAGCAATTTGACTCTGTCATGTTTGTGACTTCACAAAAGCGATTGGTTGCTATCAGTCATGTGACAACACCTGACCGCATGGGAAACAACCCGCTCCCATGGGGCTGTTTATTCTTGGATAGTAACAGTGTTGACAGAACACCTTAGCACAGACTTAGATCATAAGCTTATCCAATTAATTCCTCATGGTGATCAAATCCGATCAGGATAAGATGACCTGCTTCAATTTGAGAATACTGTACAACCATGCAGTGCAATTTGTCTTTTGATCTTGTTTGTGTGCTGCTTGCTTTATCTGTCACTGGTTTGGTGGTTTTCTCAGCATTCCACTGATGATGAGAGGTTTCCATCATGCTAAACAAAGTAATTAACACGAGCACTCAACAAGAAAGAGATGAATAAGAAATTGAAACCCAGTTGAGATTATTTTTTCTTTCCCCTATATTAAAAGCTACATTTGAACTCAACTCAGTAGCACTTTATTTTGAGGAGAGCCAAAATAATTGAACAAAAAGGAAGCAAATAAATCAAAGCACTTGACGGCAGTGCATTCCATCTGATGTTTTTCTTTTATTTCCATCATAGATCCTGAATGCAGCGAGAGATTCTTATTAGTATCCTTAGAGCTTAAAAAGTTATGTCTCTTGATATGCAATGGTGCTTAAAATTTGATCTTAAGATCTACATGAAATGTAAATTGACCCTACATACTCCTGGTGGTTTTGTGAACAATTCATGGGTACATTTTACTCCAAAGAAAAATGTAAGGCATTAGAATATTTCCTCAAAATATATAAATAGGTTGCAATGGGCAGTTAATTTGACCTTGAAGCAGGGTTATTATCGTAAGGGAAAAAAATTGTTAATTGAAATAAAGTTGTATTTAACTAAAATATAAATATTACATAACATATTCTAACTAACTGAAATAAGTTGACTCATTAAATTTACTAACTGCATATAAACAAAAACTAAAATTGAAATAAAAACTAAAGAAATCCTAAAGTAATATTTAAATATAAATAAAACTAATACAAATGACAAATTTACCAAAACAAATTAACTGAAAACTTAAAATGAATACTTAAATATATAAATAAAATCTACTTCATAATGTTAATAAAAACTATAGTTGTATAAATGAAACTAAAATAACACTGCTTTAAAGGCTTTGAAAAAAAAGTAGGCCTACTGAATACTGTTGAAAACTTTTTCTTCTAAAGTGTAGGAACTCAGAAGCGAAGACCAGGAGACTTGGTTGTATCTTCTTAGGCAAGATTTATTTCTGTTGCATCACTGTAGTCTGCTTCATCCAGAATTCTTAGTCAAGTCAAGTCTAGTCAAGTCAAGTCTAACCAAAACAGTATACATTGTGTTTTATATATATTTCAAGGGGGAGGGTTAAATAGAGGTGGAGACACTGAAACAAAGCAAATGTAAATGCATGAGGCTAGAGACAAGAACTCCAAGACAAACAGTCTCAGTAAATAAAATAGTAGGTATTCAAACTTGCTCAGCAGGAGGTTTTACCCAGTGAGACCCTTTTATACAGTGTTTCTTGTAAACAGTTCTATGAAGTAGGCTAATAACATGTTTTTGAGAAGTGCAAGATCAATAATTTACGACTGTGTTGCATGTTTCCTCAGGTGCTCTAATTTGATGAATGCCACTCAGGAGGAGGAGGATGTTGTCACTGTAACCATGACAAGTCCTCCCTTTGGGAAAGGCGCAGTGGAGAGCCGTCTAAACATAACCAAGAACAATTATGCCACCCTTGAATGTGTGGCATCGGCCAATGGGGAAATCGTGTACACTCTGTTTTCCATCAGCGGTGAGCAAATAACTTCCCAAATTACATACACACACATACACACCCCAGTACATCCCACTTCAGACATTAACTGAAGACTCTTGTTTGTAATTACTAAGTCTCAGCCTCAGATGACTCCACCTACATTCTGTTTGCTGACCCTCTGATCCATACTACCGGTACTCTCAAAACTGGAAAGCACTGTCATTATCAGCAGGATATAATCTGGTTGGCTGATTTACTGTATGCAACTTCTGAGATTTAGTTGACATTGATTGCAGTTCTTTTTTATTTATAGATCTGAATATATCTGAGATTTGATTTTATGAATTCAGACACTGCTTCTTTGTTGGACCTTTGCATATCGTACTCGTTTACTATCGTAACCTGGGTTCCCTGAGAGTGGGGAACGAGTATTGCATAGCTATAAGCAGTGGAGTAGCGTGGCGGGGAAAACTCCTTTCCCTCAAAATTCTGAAGCTTAAAATGTAAAACGCATTTTGCAGCTGTATAGATTACACAGTGAGTGTCTAGCTCATTCATTGGCTGTGCTGCGGCAACTGCCCATCCAGTGGCATGGATGCCTCCAACTTGTGAGCCAATGAGCTAGCAAGGGGGTGTGGTTAGAGCCAATAAAAGCCCCCGAAATAGCCATTATAGCAGGTTACATCGACTGAAGCGACATACTGCAATGCTGCTCAATGCAACCGGCCACACAATACTCTTTCCCTACTCTTAGGGAAGCGAGGTTACGATAGTAACCGAGTACGTTCCCTTTCGAGAACGGTCACTTCGTATTGTGTAGCCATATTTAGTGGGGACGCCATGTAAAAAGATTCACAGAGTAGCTGGTTAGCTAAACCAGCGTTGAGCCGGTCTAACCTGACAGCGGGCATCAGCCGCGGGATGGGGCTGAGAGGCCTGCTTGGCACTGCTTTCGTTGGCGGAGCAGAGGGCCTGGGGCCTGCTCGAGGTTGCTGAGCAGGATGACCTCTGTGAATCTCTCCGAAAACCTCTCCGGAACTGGTGACAGTGGCGTAGAGGAACACCGTTCTGCAAGCATCCTTAATGTCCGTGAGCATGAGCCACAGGTGGCGCTAGAGCACGACCATGTTAGCCATGCTCCTCCCGATGGCCTACGCAGTAGCTTTGGTAGCCTGCAAAGCTAGGTCCGTGGCACTCCGTAAGTCACGGAAAGACTTGGGTTCCGGGCAAGTCGTGTCCATGGATTGGAGTAGCTTGGCTTGGTAAACCTGCAACACCGCCATAGTCAACTGCGAGGTCAACTGAGTCCGACCAAACATCCTCCGAAGCAGCAATGGAGAGGCTGTCAGGGCGGGGGGCCGCTGGTCTTCCTCGAACAGAACCGGAGATGGTGTCTGGGTAGGAGAAAGCAAAGCACGCGGGGACATGGCCGGCATGAGTTCGCTAACTTACATTCTGTCAGGTTGACGCTGGCTGCGGTGCTTCTTTTGCCTCGGCCGAAGTAGAGCGGGAAGCGGCGTCGTCATCTTGCGAGAGAGCTAGCTGCGACCACAGCGTCGGGAAGGGCATGCCGTCACAAACCGAGCTACCCCCCGGCAGAAGTGGAATGAGACCTTAGAGACCTCGACCCAGGTGCTTCTGGTTTCCGAGGAATGGTTAAACAACCAAATGAGAGGCTGTGCTTCACACCAGCTGTGCTTTGTCTGCTGGCTGCATCTTTTTTAAGGAAATCTAAACCAGCTGCCAACTTGCAGATCACCACTCCTGCTCCAGCTCAACCTGTGTAGGCAGACTTTCTGGATAAGAGATATGCAGACTATTTTATAAACAGAGGTGCTGAGTTTTATCCCTAATCTTGTTTCTTTTGTAAACCTAGCATCACCAACTGTTGGGGATTATCTCAAGGGTTTTGGGGGGTTACGTTTTGGTTTGTTGCAAAACACCAAGTTTTTCCACCCCAGTTAGTGAAGGTAATATTTTTAAAGACAGAATGGTTAGCAAAAGGTCATCCACATCCAGCTTACATTGGATCTGGTACATTTTGTTTTTGTTTTTTTATCCTTTCTTTGTTGAAAGTAGTTCACTACATTGCCTGTTTGTGCATTTTCTCAACTAAATTATATATATATATATATATATATATATATATATATATATATATTTTTTTTTTACAAAAATTCTAGTTGAACGTTGACCTTTTTGTAGAGTCCATCAGGAGTTGGACTGGAGATTTTCAGGTTTGAGAGCATGAATTGACTCCATCTGCCTCAGGAAAGCCTGTTAGGTGATGTGAGAAGTGGTTTAGATTCTCAAGGTTTAGGCTGCAGCACATCTAGGAAAACCAGTGGGACAATGAGCCTTAGGCTAGACTGTAAAAACTGTTCGACCTCAGCTGAATGAGATGCACCATAACAAAACACTTTTTTTTTTTTGCATGTTGGTATCTGGGAGGGATTGATGGTATGCGTGTATGCAGTGGGATGATAGATGGATGGAAGTGGAAGATAGAGAGGGAGCAGAAGAGGACTGTAAAAGCCAGTGGCAGGTTTACATGGGATTACTTCCTGCAGAGTCTGCATTCTTTGACTTGAAATGGAGAGAAAGCTTCTTATAGCTTAAGAGCTTACTACACCGCTCAGAACTACGCAGAAAAACAATAACACAACACACATGAACACATACACACACATGAACACACACACACACACACACACATTGCAAAAAAAACACATAGCTGTAGTTTCAAAATGTGAAAGAAAATTGAGTCAAAAAAAAATCTCCAGTAAAGAGTTTTACCTCAATTTATTAGTGAGTATTATTCACACCTCATTAAATCCAAGCACTTAGGACATAATTCAGAAGTACTTATTCATTATTTTTGATGGGTCTTTAATGTTAATGTATTATAGGTATTCTAACTGTGTTAATACTTTTGTTTCAACGTCTGTACTAAGTGTAATAATCATTTTTTATTTCCATTAATTCTCTGGCTCAAGTCCCAAGACAAGCATCAGATCTACTGTGTTTTTGTTGTTGTTGTTGTGCTAACAGAATTGATCCTCAGGGATGAGCCTTGTGTATTGATTATCCGTCGATGCCTGTAACAGATTGCCTTCTTTACGCAGATTTGCAATCAAAATCACAATAAAACATTCGTTATGTGTAAAAAATCAAAATTACACTTAATACATTTTAAAAAATGACAACATTAATAATATATTAAATAATTTTAATGACCCTAAATTATATCCAATATGAGTTAGAAGTAGGGATGTACAATATATTGGCAACATATTGCTTATTATCAGTATTGCACAATCTTTAATTGTTCTAGTATATGTTTATGTTATTAAATATTGGTGCATCCCTATAGTTAAAAGGAACACATTTGTGTTTTACTGTTGATGGAGTACATGTGTTTCTAATGGCCGCTGAATGCTGTAATCTTCACAGAAAACACTGTTCCTCATGAACTCTTCACACCGTTGCTCATCGGTTTTGTTGCCGCAGCCGTTATCCTTGTTCTCATCCTTATCGTGCTGTCCTACAAATACATGCAGGTAAAGTGTCATTCGTTATATATAGCTTGTCTTCCAACACATAAAGTTTATGCATGCTGACTCACTGAGGTGTCTTACTTTTCACCCTATTATAGTAATAAATATTAAAACCTATTGTTATTCAATAGCGTAACTTGTTTTTGGTTATTTGATATTGATATTATGCCTGATCCTCAAATTCAACGTAATTTACCTGTCACACCCTCTCGCACTTCAGGGAAACTCTGAAACAATATAGACTCAAGTAAAAAAAAAAATATATTTACTTAGCATGTCATAAGACCTGATGCTTCACCGTGCAGTTTCACACTGTTGCACAGGGGTTGTTCACATTTGTGTTTGAATAATTTATGTGCATTTACACTAAACTTTTATTAGTGGACTCTGTTTACTTTTGTCTATCAGAGCACCTTTTTACACTTGCAGTTACTGGATCTAAAACGGTTGTTTTATGCTTGTCTGGCAACGCCGCTCATTGTTTATGTCTTCCCCAATCCCTCTTTCCTTCTCTCTCTCCCTCTCTCATTTCTGTCTCCAACAGAAACCTAAATACCAAATACAGTGGAAAGTCATAGAAGGTATTCATGGAAATAGCTACGTGTACATTGACCCTACCCAGCTCCCATACGACCACCTGTGGGAGTTTCCCAGAGATAAGCTGCGTTTTGGTGAGTGAAGTTCCTGAATCGGTCTGATTTGACTTTTCCAAAGCATCTTTCCACTTTTTCTCCCAAATTCTTTTGTTTATACGCTATGTTTGGACATGGTTCACCAAAAAAGCATAAAAACCTTTTGAATTTGAAAAAACATGCGGATTTTCATTGACTGTTCCATGGTTTATTGACACTGATAGCTAGCGTGCCTTGTGACATGCAGTAGTATCACATTTTCCCTATGAAGGAATAGCCGTATCCGTCAACAAACAGGATCCAACAGGATCTAGCATATTACGCTTCCCCACAAGCCACACCTCCTTGATTCAAAAACAAGTTGATGTTCCAACTAAAAACTGGCTTTGGACCAGTTTCCAGGCTGATTTATTGATTGTAAACAACTTTATCAGAGAAAAGTGAAATTCATCTGTTCATGCTGTAGCCAAGTCAATTTTCTGAATCAGTTTTGTTTCCCGGCATCCCCAGGAAAAACTCTAGGATCTGGAGCATTTGGGAAGGTGGTGGAGGCCACTGCTTATGGGATGTCCAAAGCAGACACTGTGATGACCGTAGCTGTGAAGATGCTCAAACGTGAGTGAAAAGCAACAGAGACCATGTTCATAATCTTGAAATACGAGTAGCACAGTAACACCAAGGCGTGTTTAACCAGCGTGTTTATTTAGGCAAATAAGGCAGTGTGTAATGACACACCAGAAAGTATACAAACATGCACGATTTGAAGAAAGGAGGTTAAACATTTCCAGTAAGCCACAATATTTGGTTCCCTGAACATTCTGGGAATCATGTTGGTTTATGGCTTTAAACAATAAAAAGAATGTTCTCAGAACAGTTACCAAAAGGGAGCCATACGCTAACAATAGGGGAACATTCTTTCTGTGTATTTTGATGTATTACTTGAAAGAAATTGTGATGATGCATTTATTTGTCTTTTTTCCCACAGCAAGTGCCCATGCCACCGAGAAAGAGGCTCTAATGTCTGAGCTGAAGGTGCTTAGTTATCTCGGCAACCATATTAACATTGTCAACCTGCTAGGGGCCTGCACTGTAGGAGGTGAGAGGCTTAGGCTAGATATTATTTTCCCAGGTTTGTGTGTATAGGGTGTTCTTCATTACTGAACTGGTCTGTTGCACAGGTCCAACGCTAGTTATAACGGAGTACTGCTGTTTTGGTGACCTGTTGAACTTCCTGCGCAGAAGGAGAGAATCCTTCTACTTCTCTACACTGGGAGAAGACTCTTACTATAGAAACATCATGCTGCAGCCAGAACCAAAGTAAGTATGATCAATGCAACTGTGAAAGTGTGAAGTGCTTTTGGGTTCACTAAAAAGAGTTAATGTTTGATCACAGTGAGAGCAGGAATGGATACATGACCATGAAGCCCTCTGTATTGGGAATTCTGTCCTCAGAAAACAGAAGATCACTTAATAAAGGTTGGATCAATGTCTTTTCTTGTCATCTGTTTTCATGTCACCAAGTTTCATCTTGTCCTATGTCTTCTCTTCTCTTGTCGTGCCTTTCATTTTTCTTTTTCTCTATTTGTCTCAGGCTCTCATCTCGTCTTGACTCTTATGTCTAATCTATTCTCCTTCCTTTCTCATTTCTTTCCTGTTATCTTCTTTTCTTCTTGTCTTTTCTGATCTCATCTCCATCTCTGTCTCTCTTCTGTCTCTCTTCTTATCTTCTTCGTCTCTTTTTTTTTGTTTTGTCCTTCTTTTCAGTTGTCTTCTCATCTGTTCTCATGTCATCTCATCTCTGGGTCTTGAGCCTTTTGATCTCATTTCATCTCATCTCCTCTTGTCTCATGCCTTCTCTTTTTGCCCTGTCTTCTCTCTTGTTATCTCATCTCTTTTCTTTTCTCATTTCATCTGGTTTTGTCGTCTTCTATTCTTGTCTGTTTTCGTCTTGTCTCACCTTGTACCTTCTTTTCTCATCTCAGCTCTTTTGTCTCATCTTATCTTGTCCTTTCTTGTCTATTCTTAACAGAATTTGTCACCCCTTTAGGTGATTCATATAGCGATACGGATGCCGTCAGTGAGATTCTGCAGGAAGATGGCTTGACTCTGGACACTGAGGATCTTCTTAGCTTCTCCTACCAAGTAGCCAAAGGGATGGATTTTCTGGCATCCAAGAATGTAAGTGTTTTTTTTTTGTGTGTGTGTGTGTGTGTGTGTGTGCGTGTTGTTTTTTGTCCTTTTTTTTGCATCGTTCTTTCAGACGGATAGTGAGTTTTATATTCCGAGTGTTTGCAGTAATCCCATACTGCAGATCTTCTCTCTTTTCCTCTACAATGCCACTGGCTCACATTCCATTACCTCTGCCCAGTCCTAGATCAGGTTACACAAAGTCATGGACAAATGCACACAAGTTGTCAAGCACATGCACACACTCATTCACAGAGGGTCATGCCGAGAAATATCCCATTTCCCCTCCTGGTCAGTAGGTCCAGTATTCAATTTAGTGGAAGGAAACTAAATTAGTCCCGCTGTTAAGTGGGCATGTGAGTTTTCTGTCAGTGAATGCATTTCAGCACCTCAACGCTAACTTAGAATAATGGTATGTTCAACACTTTTTTGCTAATGAGGTTTTGTATATTGGGATTGTTATTGTAAATATGTGACAATCCTGACATATGAAAGCAATATTTAGCAAAACCTTAACAAACGAAGCCAGTCCACTTGATGGTCATTTTGTTAGTGCCTCCAGGACACTAAATTCTATGCAGGTAACAGGCATACAAGTACAGCTTCTATCTACTTGAATTGCGAAAGGCAGAAATCACAAAAACTGTTTGTCAAGATTACGTTTCAATAACATATTTTCAAATTAGCAATTTAATCTGACCACAGTTGTATCGTAAAATTTGCTTCTTTTGCTCAAATCCCGATAAAAAACAAGACATCCATTAATACAGCCAGTTTCTCCCATTCATTTTTCTACAGTATAAGTGGTCTGACTCCATCCCTTGTACTGTCTCTGCTTTACAGTAATACATAATATATATGTGTGTGTGTGTGTGTGTGTGTGTGTGTATGATGGCAAGTATTTCTTCATGTGTGTTTATTGTATGTGTGTTTGTGCAGTGTATTCACAGAGACCTGGCAGCCAGAAACATTCTCCTCACCCAAGGCCGAGTGGCCAAGATCTGTGACTTTGGACTAGCCCGAGACATCACTACTGACTCAAACTATGTTGTTAAGGGCAATGTAAGTATAGACTGTCATTACATGTGACATATAAACAACTTTAACCTTAACTTTATTTTATTTGTAGATTTGGTAACACTCTACTTGAAGGGGTGTGCATAAGACTGACATGACACCTTCATAACCATGACCTGACATCTGTCTTGAATATGAAGTGAGGTTTATGCATATTTATGATTACTGTCATTAAGTGTCTTTCGTTTAATAATGACATTTTAAATGCAAATATGACATTGTTCAAGATGTCTTTTTTAAGACATCTTGACATAAACCATAATATCATCATAACCTGTCAGTGTCTTTGTCATGACGACTCAACTTGACATAAATTTAAGTTAAACTATCAAGTGGTTGGCTTTGGCTGTCATTGGCTGTTATAACTGTGTCATGAATATTTTTCGAGACCTGAACTACAGTGGTACATATTGAATTTGTCAATAAAAAGTTATAATGGCTTCATGACAGCCAATGTCAAAACCAACCACATGACAGTTTAATGTAATGTTAAGCAATAAAGCTAGGTGGTTTCTTAAGTTTGATAATTAATCTGCTATGTCATATTTATGACAGGTTGTGTTGTCTTAGTAATGTCAAGGTATCATAACAAAGACATCTCAAACAATGTCATATTTGCATTAAAATGTCATAAATGAGCGAATGGCACTTAATGACAGTTGTCATTAACATGCACGAAAGCTCCTTCATATTCATGACATGTGTCATGTCATGATTATGAAGGTGTCATGTCAGTCTTATGCACACCCTTGCAAGTAAAGTGTTACCGTAGATTTTCCCACATTAATTATCGGATTAAGTGAATAGTCAAGCATAGTTTTCTTGCGTGATGCTTGCCAAGAAAAAAGAATGTGTAATCCCTAAATAAGACATTTCCTTACAATTGGAGGCTTTTACTTTGCTTTGATGCACTGCTAATGGCTGTCATCCAACAGTGTCAAACCCCTCTTCTTAAATCTATTCCGTGGGTGTTTTATCCAAAGAGCTTACTGTGAAATACAAGAGCTTGTATTCATGTTAATGTCTTACAATGGCAAGAGATTGATGCAAAAGAAGTTGATATATTTTAAAACAGTTGATATATTTTCCAGAATTTGCATAAAGCAGAATGCTAATGTTGTCATTATATTCTACTTCTCCATTTGAATCCTGGATTCATGGTCTAAAAGAAGCCCAAAGCAACAAACAGTCAAGCAAACTTGGACTACAGTGTTGATAGTCTTTGAGTCCGTATTCTTTTTGTATATTTATTCTGCAACCAAGTCAGGTATTGTCAATCTACCGCTTGCTAGCTAGAACAAGACTATACTGTATGAGGTTTCCAAGCACAGCTTTTGATAGTAAATTGTTTCAATGGTTGTCACAGACTGAATCCTTCAAGTGATGTGTGTTGAAATGCATGCCTTCATGCTCTACCTATGTTGTTAAGGAAGGAATGTATTTAATGAGGGTATTCTCTGCACAGGCCCGTCTTCCAGTGAAGTGGATGTCCCCCGAGAGCATCTTTGAGTGTGTGTACACCTTTGAGAGTGATGTATGGTCTTATGGAATACTGCTGTGGGAGATCTTCTCCCTCGGTAAGTTCAACTTATCTCATAATTATTTTGACTTGGCATGATATACTGCTTTTAATCCAAATATTGGTAATGTGCGTCTTTAGGGAGTAGTCCTTACCCGGGCATGCCTGTGGACTCCAAATTCTATAAGATGATCAAGGAAGGATACCGAATGCAGTCGCCAGAGTTTTCCCCGAGTGAAATGTAAGACTGAGCTTTAATTTGTATATTTATGCAGCATTTTCACACTAAATCAATGTTTCAAGGTTATTTTCGTAAACTGAAGTTAAGACATTTTTGTAAACTGAAATAAAATTGAAATTTCAACTTAAATGAAAAACTAAAACGAAATGAAACTAACAACAATTACTGAATACTAACTGAAATAAAATAACAATTAGCAAAAATAAATAATTGTTTTCGTAATAATAAGCTCTCATCCTGTAAATCACGTTTTTCCATTGGACTTCATTTTTCAATTTAAATTGTTTTATTGACAAAGTTCGGGAGGAGCACGTTCAGATAATTAAACCTAATTAAAGGAGCCGTATGTAAGATTGTGGCCAAAACTGGTACTGCAATCACTTACTGTAGAGCGGTGTATCCTTCCCCCAATGGGTATGGGTGTAACTATGAGTATGATATTAAAATAAACAATAGACAAATAGCATAAATGGTTCAATACCAGAAAAAAATATTTGAAAGATTTCATCCATAATATGAATGAGTATGAATGAATATTTTTTACTTTTAAATGTTTGCATTTGTTTGGTTCTTTGTTCAATCTCAAGCAATTATTTGTTTTTTATTATTAGAGGTTTGCACAAGTTAACTATAAACTGCAAACATTAAACTTTGCTGCAATTAAATGTCTTTAACAGGAAGTGTTCTGTTTACCAGCGCCGCTTGTGTTGTTGTTTCAGGTACGAAATCATGCACTCATGCTGGGACGCCGACCCCTTCAAGAGACCCTCGTTTACCAAGATAGTGGAGAAAATCGAACAGCAAATCTCAGACAGCACCAAACATGTATGTATCTTATTTTCATTTTATTTTTTTAGACCACACAACATTGTAAACATGGATCATCATTGCAATGGCATGATGCTATTTTTTTTTTTAATCTATTAGTTTTTTTTAAGCATATTGAAAAGGCAGTTTATGCAATGATTTTAAATCATTGCATAAATTAGTTTTTAAATTAGATAGATAAATTAGATTTTAAAAAAATTTCCTATTTTTTATTTTTTTTTTCACTTTATACCACATGACATTATTGAACCAATGTGAAAAGGAACAGTACATTTTTCAGAACTTGACAGTAGATTTTTTTAAAATGTCCTTTTGTTTATGGTTCACACCACATCTCCTTTCTCTTCTTCAGATTTACTTAAACTTCAGCTCCAGGTTGCCTGTTGCTCCAGGGCCCCATGAGGAATCCAGTTCTCCTGTCCAGCGGCTAAACTCAGTAGGCAGTCACAGTACTGCCACTCAGCCCCTGCTGTCCAACAATGATGTCTTCTTGGAAGGGACAGGTCCACATCACCCTCCAGTGTGAAGATCTGATTCCCAGTAAAAAGCAGGCATTCTAACAGATGCCATTCATCTACTGGGACCCTTCGCCTTAGCTAAGTGTCATTGTAGCTGTCTGACATGCATGAGGACTTTGGAAAACACTGATCAAAAATCTCTTTTAGGATCCAAGAGCAGTCGTATTCTTTCCGTTCACATTTCACGCAGATTGTGTATATAAGCCCTCCTGCCAGAAAGGACAGTGATGGTGTGCTCTTCTTTTACATTTCATGTATTTATTTGGGGACATCAAACTTTTGAGACAGCTACTGTACAGTAATAATCAATGCTGGTATCATCCCATGGTACTATATCTTCAATGTGAGTCTGCAGGAGGACTGAACTTTTTTCTTTTTTTTTTTTCTTTTTTTTTTTTTTGTAGAATCCCTTTGATTTATTATATGGGATATATAAACACAATAGTGCTTCTTTTGCTAATTGTCAAGTCTTTACAAGTCAAACAGGCTGTTTCAAGTCAGAGACTAGATGAAACCCTGATAAACAATCTCTGGAGTCTTGACATTCAATTTGACATGATATTTTAGCCAAAAGTGGTATTTTAAGATATTGTAACACTAATGTGTTGAATATGTCAGACTATCAGTAGTAAAAGAGCCTGGCGTGAGAGTAAAATAAATTCCAATAAATTCATAAATTCAAATATCAAACGCAAAAGGCCATGCTATTTGGAAATATGTATAAGCAGTAATAACCCTAATTTGGCAGCATTGTCATGTTGCTGCACAAGCCAAAAACAAGCTACTTGATGCATGTTGCATTTGGAATAGTGTTTTGTCAGTTGGCAGCTGAATCTGTAAGTAGTTTTAAGTTTAAATAGACCAAATTAAGGTACATTTCAGTTCGCTGTCAGGCAAGGTGTCGAGACACGAAGAGGTAATCCATCAAAGTTCATTGTTTACTTTAAACACTCAGCGATATTTTGATTCCACAGCAGTATTATATTATTGGCTTGTGTTGTATTTTCCAGAAAATGTCATTTTGGACAGCAAAATTATTCAGTCAAGCAGTAATTCAAGCTTGACGTATCAAACTTTTAGACAGTGTTTCTTTTAGGGATCACTTTAAACAGTTTCTTCCTCTTCTCCTGTGTGTTCTAAGGAAAATATTTGTTAAATAGTATACTTATTTCATTTGTTTCAACACACTTGTTTCAAAATGCTTATTTGAGTAGTTTTTATGATGTGGTTCCAGAATGGTGGACTGTAGAAGATCAGTAGCTTCGGTAGCATTGGTCCTGTTATTTATTCCAGAAAAATATGGGAGTTATTCCACATTTTATCCTTCATTAAACTGGAAGTGTAGTGCTCTTTTGTATATTCCAATGGTTTCCAATCTAGCTTCTGTTGCGTCTAATTTTGTGCAGAAAAGTATGGTGGGGGTCTGGTAGTGTTTAAGGAGAGCTTTCTTGTGTCGCGGGTTATCATTTCCTACAGACTTGACTCAGTTACTCTGACTTCTACTTACCAACTGTTGTGCCTGAAATGTTTTCTCTGCTCTTTAGCCAATGAGAATCGTGCTGTTGAAGGTTGAGCCAATAGAAAGCTGCTGCTGCTGCTGTGTAGAAATGGGTGCCAATGGCTTCTTGATCTCTGTAGGATTAGCCAATGAAGGATCTGCCAATAGACGGGTGGCTTTCAGACCGGGCAAAAAGAGTGGCTTTCTGTTACTTAGATGAGCCAATAGGATTCTCATTCCACTGCCAAAAGGAAAGATCGCAGAGTATGCGTCCGAATATGAGCTACGTGCTGAATCTGAATGAGTCGACACACCAACCGCAGTACCCATAGCTGTGCGAACATCAGTAGTCTGGGCACTCAGTCAGTACGGTAGCTCGTTTTCCAGGTCTCCCTCTGTTCTTTGTGTCCAGCTGCTTCCTCCGGCGGATGTCTCACTTCCACAAAGACTCAGCCGGGGAGATCCAACTCAGCCCGTATCCCATCTCCAGCGCTCCTTTTCGCCACACTGGGACATTGTTCCTGTTGTGCACTGGCTTTTGCTTGCATTTGCGCTAATGAGTTGTGCGCGTCTGTGTGAGCATATATGAATGTGTAAATGCAGGTCATTTGCTGTTAAATTACCAGAGCACTGATGGGTTCCTCCAGTAGAACGACTGTAGTTAATGAACTTGAACAGAGATTGTCTGATTTATAGAGCTGGAGCAATCGATGTTCAGCCGCTACATACTGTTCGCTCTTTTCTTTAATGTAAATAATATATATATATACATATATGTGTAAATCAAAATGTTGCTTCTTGTTTTGTTATCACGGTACGATCTCTCATGTGCTGCATATATTTTTGTATGTTACAGTTATCTTCTGTCATTATTTTGCCTCTTGATTCATTTATTCACAAGTGCAGTTTTCAGACACACCAGGTACAGTTGGTTATATATTTAATCCATTTATATTATATTCAGCGTTGCTTGTCGATTCAGTATTTTCAGTGTTTGCATTATTGATGAAAGGAGGAACACATGAAAATAAACACAGATGGTCCAGGAATCCCATTTGTGACCGCATAGTCACTATATGCATTTTGAAATGATTGAAAGGTGTTTTGCCCCATAAAAGATTGTTTAATGTATTTTATTGTATATTTATTTTACATTTTTAATTTTGAAGACAAATGTGCAAATCCTGTGTGTAGCTCAGTATGTAAATAAATAACTGAAACTATGAATCTCGCAATTGTTAATATTATTTGCTTCAAGGTTGTTGTTGTTGTTGTTTTTTGCCGTCATGGAGAAATATTATTGGTTCTATAAAAAAACATAAATACATAATTTAATAAAAAAAAAACACTGAGACTTGACTTTGAAAACTAAATGTTTTAGAAAAAAAGAAATAATTGAAATTGAAAATAAATTACAGGTGTTTTCGAAAGATCTTGAAAAGTAAAAAGAAGTACAAAATAATTAAAAAATGTCCTTTTTAAAATGTTACTATTTTATTCTGAAAACATCATCTATAAATCGACAGCCATCATTTTATGGATAAATGTCTCTTCATTGTTTATGATGAGAAAATTCATATATATATATTTTTTTTTAATTATTTTTTTTCAACAGTATAAATGGGTCTTCGTTATAAATGAAAATATTCAGCCTTATAAATGCTGCTCTCATATTTTTGGAAAAGTAATTTTCAGTAAAAAATATATATATATATACTTTTAACAGTGTGTCCCACTTTAGTATGTTCTTGAAATAAACACTACCAAATTTTCAACCAAATGATTTTGGGCCATATTGTCAGCCATCTGGGTGAGCACGCAGTACAGTTTCTGCAGATTGCAGCAAATGCAACTGTCTTAAGAAATGATGTCTCATTTATGATTATGCCCAATGAGCTCTAAAATATATTAAAACCATGTGGTCTGAGACAGGGACTGTGCTTTTTTGGCTTTGATACAGATCTGGACATCTGTTTCTAATGGGCCACAGACTTGAACGCACGTTACGAGTTTTGTTTAATTTGTTCAGTTAAATTGTTATTTGAAGCCCTTAACACTACAGTTGGTTGAAGTGATTTGTGTATATTTTGTAAGATCTTAGCTGTGCTCGGTACTTGTGCTCTGTGTTGTCTTGAAGACAGCTCTCTGAGCTTGTGAATCCCAGCACAGTCAGAGTTTATTGTTCACATATCTGATAAGAAGCAAAGGATTTCCCACTATTGAAGAGGACCAAATATACATAGTGAGTCAGCAGCACCTGAGGACTTCACTCACTCCCCAGCCGAAAGAAAAAGAAGGAATAAGTGAAATAAAGATTTACAACACAACACAGTTTTGTTGTGAGACAAGAAACGCCTACTTCACCCATTTGCATTAAGCTTTGTATCTTTAGAAACCCAGTGATATTTTTTGAATGGTCATGGTTTATTCCCTTATTTTCCCCTGAGATGGGAGAAATACTGTAAGGATTTAAGTGTTTTACCTCCTGCTTATTATGACGTAAAAATCGTCATTTTGTATCATAAAAGCAGGAAGTCACATTTCATTAAAAAGTGTATTGACTACAAACATTAGCTCATTATTATTCGAGGGTGTGGACCCACCCACCCTACAGGCCTATTACAGACCAGTGGGTGGGACTTCACTTGCAGATACTAAATCAATATCAGCCATCTTGTTTGGAAGCTAAGCTAACAAACGCTGTGGAGATAGGAAGTATGACAATGAAAGAAGAAACTAAACATGATATGGAAGAAGAGAATTTTGAAGTTCTGCTGCTCAAATCCGATGTTCGTGGCTAATGAAACAAGCCACAATATAGTGAAGAGCAGCTGAGGTTTCACCCTGACTGACTCGAGCTGAGGCGGACTGCTGTGCATGAGCTACGGACACAGCTAGAGGCCATCAGCTGCAGAGAATTCCAACAATGGCAATTTCTCCTGGACGAAATCTCTGAATCAGACGAGCACACGGACGTTTGTGTTGTGATGTGAACCATCCTGTTTCGCCTGACTGAACATCCAGGTATCATGCAGTAATTCACCATATAGAAATAAATAGAAACGAGGAGTAATTTACTAATGAGTTTGCCAATGTAACATTAATGGGGTTTGTTGTTGTGTGGGAAGAAGGAGGTGGGAACCGGCGAACATTTAAACATTTTAATAGTAAAATGAACAAATACAAAACGAAAGTAAAAGCCAGCAGCCCTTTATTGACGCCTGCTGTAACGTTACACACAACAGAAACAAAACACATCATAAAATCAGGCCTGTTTCTCTCTGGGTCTGCCATCGTCGCTCCTCATTTTATGCTTTCACTCCTCCTTTAGAGATGCGAGACCGGTCTTTCATTATCACTCACGCCACCGGCCTCGCGCCGTCCTCATTACGTCCATCGATCGTCTTGCTCGCCACAGCCAACTTACTAGAAATTTTGTGTGAAATGAATTTCAAACTCTGGTGACAGCTAACGTTAGCCTTGTACACGGTGATTTCTCTGTTTGTGCTCTTCCGGATTAGTGGGTGTGGCTTGCGGAGCTGTGCAATGTGGTGCATTGAGGGAGTTGTGGTCTTACATACAAATTCTGTCTTTTCTCGGTCAAGAGGGCACCAAATTCAAAAATTCTTTTACATTTTGACAACATATATGATCCACTTTCAATAAAGATAAATGTTGAAATTGGTGAAAAGCTCCTTTAAACCTGAAGTCTGTAATAATTTCTATTAGCGCCACTAAAAGAAAATGCAAAAATTATGACAGGTTTCAAAAAGGACACTCAGCTAGTTATGCTGTTCCATTATCTCCATGACACACATTCACACTGTAATCCTTGAAATGTGAAGAATTTTAAAACTTTTGACTCTATAGGTACAAATATATATTTTGAAAAATACATCCCTTATGTCTTTGTATGTTGCTTTAAAACTACTTTTAGAGTGCACTTTAGTCGGAGTGGTTTCTAATGAGCGTCACCTTCCTGTGGTTTTTGTGGCAATGCTGACAGTTTGACCTGTTCAATGTGCTCAGAGCAGGACAGGGAAGGTGGCAGGGCTGGAGGGGTTTATGAAAGAAGTGATGAAAAGTGAAGATGAAGAAATGCGTGTGGAGATGGAAAGAGGAGGAGTCTTAAAGTGATAGTTCACGCAAAAATGAAAATTGGCTCATGACTTACTCACCCTCAAGTCATCATCATAGGTGTATATGACATTCTTCTTTCAGACAAATACCATGTTTTATTAATCCCTTAAGCCCTGAAGCCATTTTTAGAGTTGTTTTGTCTGAGAGACACACAAAATTAAAGACTCATAACTCCAAAACTATAACAAGGAGAGTCAAAAGGTTGGCATCATTTGATAGAACCCTTTTCAATTTTTTTTTAAATATTTACACTGCATTTGGACACTCTCCTGCTGAGAATCTGCTGATAAAAAAAAAGGAGCAATTTTTATTATGATTATTTTTCTATTTATGACAGCCTTTTTGTTCAGTCCTTGACGCCCCCTAAAGGGAATTTTTTAAAATTGTTCCCCTACAGAGAATATCTTGTCACAAACGCAATAGATAATGTTCATTTGGGGTCATTTTAATTGTTATAATATGCTGTAAAAAATGAAGTGCCATTTTCAACGATCTGTGAATCTTTTTATGAGCTGTATGATGTTTTAGACACATAAACATCTATAAAAAGTATTTTACAGATTATGAAAAAATATATATACATTTATCAGCAAATAACTCAGCAATACTTCAGAGTTTTTCAAATTGGCTACTTTCACTGTAAAGCTCAGGCTCTAAACTTTCAAATGACGCCAATTTTGTGTTAATGAATAGCCTGGCTAACGCCAGACAACGTACCATTGAGATTTGAGACGTGGTCTGGAAACCACATGTTCATTTTCTCGTATTTGAGGCGTGGTTTACGAATGCCCAGAGCCCTATTATTGGGTGTTACGAATTACTATCAAATGCGCCTATATGTAGCTCAGAGCCAATCGGTTCAATGATACCAGATGACGTATGTAGAGCGACAGAAAATTAGACGAAAGGAAGAAGACGATGGGTCAGAGATTTAGGAGATTTATGTATACACAAAGGCAGTATCAAAACGTAACTTTGCGTCTGCTGCCAAGATGGATCCATAGATATAAACAAACTGCTTTGGTGTGTCACATGTACGTCGTCATTGTCTTGCTGCTCCCTCCCTGTTCTGTGATTTGTTCCCTTTCTCAGGTGAAAATTTGGTTCATGATGTCCAGGCTGCCTAGCTGCATGAATAAAATCGCGCTGCTTCAAGGCAGCATGGGGAAATCCAAGCTAGTTTATCAAGGCAATATTTTTTAAAAATTTGATAATGAATATTTTCGCAGCTAAGTGGCGCCCGCAGTCGGTACACTCCGGTTTAGAGAGACTGGTAGTAGTCATCTCTCGTTCAGAGTTGATCAAAGTGGTTAGAATAGATGCTTTAAAAAGCTGAGATTCGGTATACACACACACACACACACACACACACACACACACACACACACAGGGGAACTGATAGTGTCCTAATATACAGCTAAATTACTTATTTTCTAAATAATAATCTTTACACGGGCTATACTGGTAGGAATAGGTATGCTTTCCCTAGTAGGAACAGCAGTGATTGACTTCTCTGTGTAAGCCCTGTCCTTTTTCGCAAGGGGCATATTCGATATGCATATCTCACTCTCCAATGTCCATGGCTGTTTCTGTTAACACTCAAAGGTGATAGAGCTCTCAGCCACGCTCCCAATTCATCAGTCATTGACGTAATGTCTCCGTTCCCTCCTTCAGAGAACAAGGGTTACGTTTCACATTTTGAGATCACATGACCTTATATATGATGATGATGATGATTACAAACACAACAAAATCACAAGAAACTGAGACACTTTTTAATTATCAATATATTAAGCAAGTTAAGTATTTTTTTTTTTAAAAAACAATTAACAAGTAATTTTAACTCTAAAGTTAGAAACAGAATTTAGATTACACATTTGTTGGGTCTGTGCTGATGAAATGTTTAACGGGGATGAAAACTGTAACAGACAGGACAGCAACAAACCTCTCCGATTCCAGATATGACTCTGACTGTATGTAGATAAAGAATCTACTTCTCTTGGCTGTTGTGTGGGTATGAAGGCACAGGCTGACATACAGGCATGAGATATGATGAAATATGAGCCTAAAAAACATTATTGAG